AATGTTCACAGGGTTTCTTGGATGAGGGAAGAGACAAGGATCTGACTCCATGTTTCAGAAAGCTTGATTTATTATCTTATGATATATATTACATTAAAACTATACTAAAAGAATAGAAGAAAAGGTTTCATCAGAAGGCTAGCTAAGAATAGAATAGCAAAGAATGATAACAAAGGTTTGCAGCTTGGTTCTCTGTCCGAGCCAGCTGGGCTGTGATTGGCCATTAATTACAAACATCCAACATGGGCCAATCACAGGTGCACCTATTGCATTCCACAGCAGCAGATAACCATTGTTTACATTTTTTTCCTGAGGCCTCCCAGATTCTCAGGAGGAAAAATCCTAAGGAAAGGATTTTCCATAAAAGATGTCTGCGACACATGATGACAACAAACATCCAACTTCTGTTCCATGTGGGGTCAAATTTATTCCAGTTACTTCTGTCTGGAAAAGTGGAAACAACAAAGTAATAGACACATCACCATGTTAGTTTAAGTGCAGCTAGGCTTTGATCTAATAATCCCAAATATAAAACTAATTGTGAGCTCAGTAAATAACAATTTATATTGCACAAGAAGAACTGAAGTTACTACACTCAAAGGGCATTTCAGGCCCATTTCCACATTCAGCCCAAGACTGGCAGGATGCTGCCTGGAGCTACTGGATTTTCCCAGCTTCCAGCAAGCAGCCTCATGGCAAAAAGCCTGCTTGTGTACTCAGCACAGCAATTTGGTTCCAGGCTTCCCCCCATCAGTGGGCTTGTGCATCTTATGAACAAATTAATTTTCCCATATGTTACAATACTGCAATATTTCCTCATTCTTCAAGAATTATTTACAATTAATCTTTGTCCCGCAGTCTCCAAAAAATCCAAGTTACAAATAAATCTGACCTAAAGAACAGATTCTCTAGTGCCTAAGAGCAGGCAGGAATTCACACCGCATTCTTCCCAACCATTAAATGAATCAATAGCATCCCCTCCTGTTTGCACCGACATCTTTTCATGAAATTCCAAGGAAATTCATTATGTTTGTGGTATCCTCACAACTTCAGTTGATTTCAACTGATGAGCTCAGAAGTTTTTGGAGCCAAGTTAAATAGACAAAGTGACCAAATGCAATCCTTCTCAGAAACCAGACTAAAAGGGACACCTAAGAGATTACTAATACTTATCTTTATAATCTTCCTTTTTTGGACCCAATTTTGGCTTTCCCAATGGGCTACATTAAGAAAGAGGACAGAGGAAAAGAGAAAAGGATTGCTGAATTAAAAGTGTTGTACACAAATCTTGCATTGCATTGCATTGTACACTTCCCCAAGACTGGGGAGGTTTACCAGGTTTATAATCTGATGCTGTACATCATGCAAAGAAAAGCCTGTGGGCCCCAAGGAGACTCTGAGTCTGCTCTATACCATACACACGCAGTACTCAAAGTTCAGACATTTCCTAACCATAGTCTTGATACCCCATAGGACAACTAGCATCTCAGTAACCAAAGAGGAGGGGAGATCTCAAAGGAGTTACGAAGAAATACATAGGTTTTATGCAAGAAGTTGTTTACTAAGAAGAGTGATTCTGTTTTTGAGACACTGGTACTGACATTAACATACTCATATTCCCCTGTGGACTTTTAGCTGTAGATTTGCCATTACATGTCTCATTGTGCATGCTTTCTCTTTTCATTGCATAAATTGAACAGGAATTGAACATATAGAAATAGAATACATTGTAAAACATCAACTGACATTTTCCCTTAGTATTTTCATGCTTTTGTCAAAACTAGAGTCTAAAACAGATGCCATGTTTTTCACATTGATCTTACACAGTGTTCCCTGAAACACTCAATGTTGTCAGACAGAAATTCCTAGGACAAGAAGCAAGAGCATATTTATGTGAATGATGTATATTGACTCTAATCAGAATTCAAGACCAGCCATACCCAGCCCCTCTGAAGACCAGCTGGGACACAAGGCTGTTTGTGTTCTGCCAAACTTTTATATCCTTAATGCAGCAGAAAAACACCTTGTCCTGGGAGCAAAGTCTAATTAGGAGAATTTTCCTTCTGTATCTCTTCCATTTATGACAGTATTGAGAGGAACATTAAAAGATTTCTTTCAGAAGGATGGCATTTACCCACAGAAACCCAAAGGGAACCGAAGATAGACCTTTTCATGGCTGTTGATCTTGTTCATATTGGTGTTTCTGCAATGTGGGTGATACTATTCACATTTACTATGTGAGGAAATCTCTGATGGCCATGGGACAGGGCTTGTTCAGTTTAGAATCCAAAGTTTCATAACAAGTACACCAAACTAAATCTCATGCTGAAAGCAGCAGAAACCAGACCAGATTCTTCTACTTCTCCATGGTAATGCTACTAAGACATAAGTCAATGATGAAGAGGACAGAAGTGTGAAGAAGTACACAAGGACTACAAAGATGTGAGGAAGTTATTCAGGGAGAAAATGAATAGGCCAAAGTTCAAGTACAACTTTGCTAGGGCCATAAAAGGCAAGAGAAAATGTTTTTACAAATATATCAGCAACAAAAGGAGAGCTATGGAGAATCTCCATCCTTTACTTGACACAAAAGGAAACATAGAAATCGCAGACTTCAGGGTACTCACCCCTTGCCCTGGAAGATGGGGACTGGAAGCAGAATACAGCCTATATAATTCAGGAGAAAATGGTTAGTAAACTGCTACATCGCTTAAAACACCCATAAATCTATGGGCTCTAATGGGATACACCAAAGGGTACTGAGGGAGCAGGCAGAAGAACTTGCCAAGCCACTTTCAATCATTTACCAGCAGTCCTGATTAACTGGAATTGACTGGAAGCTGACAAATACAACATCCATCTACAGGAAGAGTTGGAAGGAGCATCCCAGAAGCTACAGGCCTGTCAGTCTGACCTTGGTGCTAGGGAAGGTCATGGTCCAGAGGATGCTGAGTGCCATCATACAGAACATAAAAGACAAACATGGGCTCAGGATCAGCCAGCATGGGTTTATGAAAGGTAGATGCTGCCTGCCTGATGAGCTTGATCTTCTTTTACAACATGGTGTTCCTGCTTGGTGGATGGGGGGAAGGCTGTGGATATTTTCTACTTGGACATTAGTAAAATCTTTGATACTGCACCCATGGCATTCTCCAAAAGAAACTGTCACTGTCTGCTCATGGCTTAGACTGCAAAAGCAAAGCAGCAATTTTAAAGCAGATTCCCCAATCCTTTGCAAGGAAAAAAACCCCACCAAAAAACATCAATGCACCACTCCAAGGATTTCTTCTTTCTTAGTTCAGTAGTTTTGAAACTGATGGATAAAGAAAATAAAAAAAAAAAAAACCCTAATCCATGTAGCTGAAACTCCTGAAAGTGTTCCTTGGGAAGGAAACAGAGTCCATGACAAGCCTCACTCCAAGGCAGGGCTGACCATTTCTGAGTTGGATTTGGTCTGTGTTTCCCATGGAAATGCAAGACAGTCTGGAAAGAAGAGCCTGACTTGGAAAGATAAGAATTTTAGCTTTTGAAAGCTATGTTAAAGATACTGAACTCCTGCAAGTTGAATTATCCAGTCATTGAAGTAGCAGCACTGAGATGAAGAAAGCATGGGCTACATGACATGCTTTATAGTCATGTAAGTTGTCTCTTTTTTACTAAGCTAGACCAAGATTATAAATAGTTTAAGTAACATTTTCACCAGTTTAGATTATGAGTTTTAATTAAGCACAAATGAGTCCTGATTTCTAAACAGAGTTTTGTTTTTAAAGCATCTAAAGTAAAACATACAAACACTTGACTAAAGAGTATTTCACAGGTACTTGAGGCCAGCTAAAATGCACTCAGAGGTTATGTATTTTTGTCTTAAGCACTGGTCCTGATGCCTTTTTGTCATCAAAATATGGGCACTCTCTGTGTGACCATTATTAAAATAAGACCAAAGCAGTGTCTAAGATAATCTTCGTAAGATAACTTCACAGGTAAGAAACTGAATCAAAATAAACAGGAAGAACAAATAAATCAGCAAACCAGCACATCCAGATGCATCAGCTACTGAGGGAGGAGGATCAAAGGAGGTGAACTCGGAGCTGGAGCCCTGGAGGAGGCTGCACCACAGCTGCCTACGAGGTGGCAGTGCCACCGCAGCCTGCCTGCTTCTGCGCCCTGGGCACTCAGGTGCCTCCTGACTCATCCCATGAGGTGACAGGGCAGCCAGAGCCACAAGTGTGTCCTACTCCTGGCCCCTCAGCTTCTCTTCACTAGAAATAAACTTGAAGCAAAGAAAAAAATAAGCTGTTCCAGTGTCTTCCAGCGATAAAAAATGTTTGGAAGGTTTGAGACAACAGCAGGAATCAGAATCAAAACACTTTAGAAGAATTCTATGCTGTTCTCTTGAAAAGAAAACACTGTTGTCCTGAAACGGGTTCTTTCACCCAGTGTGCAAAAGACTGAGCCATACAAAGTAGAGGTATTGGATTTATTTTCAGTTCTGTGCAGAAAAGGGTGGTAGGCAGTGAATCCACAAAGCCGGCATACTGATTATCAAAACTTTCCAGACACTAATGTTGATTGGCTCCCAATTACACAATCTTCCTATTCATTAATATTCAATCTTCTATTGGTTGAATGATTCTCTTGCTTCATATGCTAATTAGCCCACATGCTCCATCTTTTTTCAAGCTGGTGCCCGCTTTTCTCCAGCTGATGCCTCCCCTTCTTCAGACAGACCCTTTCTCAATCCAGTGGGCATGATCTACTTCTGTAATTACCTAGTTGAATAAACTTGGCTTGTTTTGTTCCTCATACTCTGGCATTATATTGGTCATTCCACCAAGTGTCACTGGTTCAGCACTCCGTTATGTCTGGTGTCAGTTACATACTTAGCTTCTTTCTTCTCATCTTTTTTCCTATAGCTGTTACAATTAGTGAGACATGCTAAATATAACTTATCTATTTGGGAGCCATATATTACAGTGTGTCAAGTACATTGACGCCAAGTATCACAGCCAACTCAGGGCTGCAATTTCTTTCTTCATTTCCTAATAACAGAAAAAAAAAAAGACAAATTAGAAGTCAGTGCAAATACAAGCCTGAGAACCCTGATAACTTCTTCATCAAAAGAATCAAGAATCTGTACATATGTGTTAGTGATATTTAGCCAATACATGTGCTACCACCATCACAATTCCTTTCTAGCCCCACTAGCTTCAAACAAGTCCTTAGGCACTCAAAGCAGAGAGTAGGCCAGAGAAACTGCAGGGATCTATCTCAAGGAACAATGGATCTCTATCAAGGTGCTTTCTACAATAAAAAAGAATACAGTTCCTGAAGAGCTACTACTGAAAGCTGGAACTAAAGCTAAAAGTAGACACAGAAAATGAACAAAAAAGTCAAGTCCAGTCACAAGAGCCCACAAGCCCTGGTATAACATAAACAAATCCTTCCTCATACTAAAACACATTATTTTGCTAGATGAGAGAAGGGCACATTTTTCAGGAATGGTCTCCTTGGCTAAAGAGAAGAGGCTTCCTCTTTTTTTTTTTCTTGAGGCAGACTTAGAAGCATAAATAATTTTACGTAATTTCATGCATAAACATCTGAAAGACAAATGGATTCAAGGATCTTAAAGACTGAATACTCAATCTATCTAAAACAACTTAATACTGAGAATGCCTGCCTGGGACCATGGATGCCTGTGGAAGATTTCTGCTGAGCTCCACAACTCGGAAATACTCTCTCAGTGGAGGAGATTAGAGAGTTGGACTCAGTAGCATCAAAGCATTGTAGGCAGTTCCCCACATATCATATTAAAGATGCTTGAGCCATGCCAAGTTAAAAAGGAAGTCTATCGAGCCTACAGAAAATACTGAAATTCTTGTAATGTTTCATATTTAATTTCTTTTCAAGAATGGAATGAGTGCTATCCAAGTGTTACCCTATGCGCCTGCCTGCCAGGGAAGAAATAGGAAGTGGCAGACTGAGAAAAGTGCTCTCCTTTCACAGCCCCCCATCCTCTTTATAGAGCTGGAAAAGTTCTTCAGAAAGACTAGTGACAGATAAACTGGTTTGAGAGGCCTGTGTAGGTAAACCCATTGCCTTTTTCTACCAAAATTACCAACAATTATGCAAAATTCAATAATGGGTTTGCAATATGAGTAGATGTCTTCTATCCAGAAATGAAAGTCTTGTAACACAGGCAACTAAGCAGTAAAGAGTGATAAATAATTGTGAGCACATACATAGGCATAACATACATATACATAATACCATGTGACAGAAAGTGCTATAAGACAAAAACAATTACCTCCACTAATTTGGTTTTGTCTGGATTTTCCCGCTGTTGATAAATGCACATGCTAAGAACAGAATATAGTTTTGCCATGCTCGATATACTGACATTCTCAGTTGCTGTGACGACAGCATCCAACAATTTCTGAAGACAAAAAAGTGGAAACTACAATTCAGAATAGGACAAGGTATGTCCTACTTTCGTATCTTGTGAAATAAAAGTGGCACTTTGGAGAGCTGATTAAATATCTCACAAGATTTAACTGGAGAAAACAATTTCTCACACTTCAGACAAAAGGAAGGTTTAAAGTTCAGACAATATTTTCTTACTCATCAATCTATGACATCAATGATCCTAACTGCAGATCAACTGCCTCCAGAACAGAGGGGAATGACACAATCCACTTTGTTATAGAGTAGCTGCAACTGAGAAGCCACGGTTGTATTTCATTAGAAATGCAATACAGGGCCCTGGAAAATATGTCTTTGGAAGACAAGTTACAGATCTTCCAGGTACAGCTGTGCCAGCTGGAAATAGAAGCTCCTTAGGTGCTCACCCCTACCCATTAGCTGGATGTTACTGTGCCAAACACCAGCCAGCTCCTATCTTTCAACTCAGAAGTGGATGAGCTAGCAGAATGACCGCCTGTAGCAAATTGCCAATCTGGCATACAGTTCCTTCTGTTGTGGAGATGTGAATGTGATAATCTGTGGAAATGCAACACTACCAAGCCAGTGGCACCACTGCTGTCCAGTAACTCTGTGTTGTGTGAGGTTGTGAAGATATAGCTTAAGAAAGCAGCTGCATCAAATGAAAATATTACTGCCTCACAGCTGCTTGCCATTAACTCAGCCCTTTTCAGATTAGCTAGGACAACATTTGAGTATTTCCCTGAACTTCACTCTATCCAATGTGCAGCTAGGAGGCACAAAACCCACACAGCTTTCAGCTGCTGCAAGCACAACACGTAGGACATGACAGCGGTGCATGGCCAACATCTCCAGTGAAATGACCTCTAATTGCTGCCACACAGGTGAGTGCATGCTTTTCTATTTGTTCGTCAAGTTGCATGCCTATTACCAAGCAAATAAACAAACAGAAACTGCCACTAATCAAACCAACTTAACAAACCCAAACAAATAATAAAAAAAATCCTATCCCATACAAAACCAAGCGGATATATTTTGGAGGTTCACGCAGCTTAATGACTTCAGTAAAGTTCCAATGAGGTTCTCTGGTACAAGTGTCAAGTTCCAGTGACACTCATGTTAAGGAAATAAGTTTTCTAAACAGACATGTTTCATGACTGTAGCTTTCTCCTCACAGCTGAAAAATATATATAAGCTGAAATATCTTACCCTTTCTCCAGCTGGAAATAACTTTGGAGCACATGCTATTAGCACTCTCACTCTAGAAAAACCTATGTGGTTTCTCTCTATATGCAGGCAGATGTGAACAACAAAATCCCCTAAAATTTGCTTCCTTAGGACACCAGCCTTAGAATGCTAGTTTCACTTCTACAAACTATGTCACAGTTTAAAAATGTGACAGAAATTGTTTGGATAAGCCCCTTCATCAGAGGAGATACCACTCTGGTCATATTATCCCCATACAGAGGAAACATCCAAACAACATTCCCTTTCTCAGACAGATAAACACTGGCCTCCTCTGCTTTGACCAAACTCCAGGAGTTCAGCCAGCAACTTCCCCAATTTTCGCCCAACCAATACTCCCTGAAAGTCAGGTCCTTCTTTTATACCCTCTCCAGTTCAAGCAAAGGAACCTCTTTTACCCCCTGCAGCTAGGCCCACTTTTGACCCTTTCCCCAGCTATAGCCTAGGATAACAACTCCTCTCCTATAGGGGATTATAAAAACCTTATAACTCTGTAACTGTAAGAACGTAAAATTCTAACACTGGATTTTGAAAGAATTCTGCAAAAGTGGGTATTAGTATTTTATCCAGGATGTGCTTTAGGTCAACTGGCTAACTTCAGGTTTAAAGCCATAACAGCTAAAAACCAAGGTCCTTTTCTGGTTCCAAATACATGAAAACATGCAAACAGAAAAACAAAACAACCTTACCACAATCCATCATAAAAACTGCATTAATAACTAACAGTAATAGAAGGTTGTCATTGGGCTATATTAAAATCTAACAAGCCCTTTTACATTAAAAATTAGGACGAGAACCCCATCTTCTAAAATACAGCAAGAGCAGCAGTTTACACCAGCTGCAGAAACAACTGTCATAGTCCCTTACAGGCTGAATTATTTCACAAGCTATATATCCCTCTCGTAAATTGTTTGAACTGGCATTGGTTAACAACTGACTTAATTCACAACCATAAAGAAAATGTCCTACTTCAGTATTAAAAAAATTGAAGTTAGACTTACTCTGAGCTCAGAGTAATCTACAAACACTCCTCGTTTTAGAATTTTCATTGCTTTCTTGTCCAATACTTGTGGTTGCCCATCCACCTGAGAACATCTTGCAGAAGGGTGTGCCTGTGAATCTGGAATAATGTAAATTTAAGCCAGGATTTGTCTTAATGTGGAAGAGAGTATCAGCTAAATATCCTGTACCTGAAATAGGGAACCTCTCTGCAATAACAGAGAAAAATTTTAGTCAATTCATGGTGCTCAAATGCAAGTACATGAAAAATGATTGACAGAGAATTATCACCAAAGCAAATACTGCATTAGCTGTTAACTTACAGCAACAAAGTTGTATAGGTAGAAAATCCTTACCTGCATTGTTTCTTGATGCAGGGGGTTCAGCAGCTTGCTTCATAATCAAGTTCTCATAAAACCCTCTCCTTTCAGCACAGGTAGGCCGCGGGATATTGAAAACTTCTTCACGATTAGTATTAAACAATGTTTTTATCTAGACCATGAGAAGAAAAGAGATTTCAGATATAAGGCCACAAAGACTTTTTATTTTCTATTCCAAACAGATGAGTGTATTTCTAAATTACACTGAATACTCATCTAGATAAAACAAGCTTTAAAAGTCAACTTCTTGGCCTTAAAAGGCTGGATTCCCATAGCACTGCAGACTAAAATACCTTCTCTAATCAACCTTCTCAAGTTTAAGATCCATGAGAAGAAGTATGATAAACCAATCAGAAAGGGGTGACATTTACCTCCCCAAATACTGCTTATTGTACATTTACCCAGCTTGATGTCCTTCAGCTTGAATATTTATGACAGTTATAGAGGGAAGAGGCAGGGATTGGCAGACAAGTGACAACTTTTGGTAATGTGGGATTCTTGGTTTTTTTTATTTTATTTTATTTTAGAAGGTACTTAATAATTTTATAAAAACTTTGCTACTTATACAAAACAATCAGAGCAACATATTAATATTTTAAACACCTTCCTTTAATGAACACTCTCAGATTCTAGAAAACACAGCATGTGTTCTTAATTAATTTCATTAAGAAATATAACTAAAAATTGTTTTCCAAGTTGCTTAAACAGAAGTTTGTCCTTAGCTTTTTAATTTGCCAAGTTTCCACCCAAATGAAGAAATTGATTTTTTGTGAAATAATTTAAATTAGAAATTACATTCTATCACTAACAGTATGACCACAGCACTTTATCAGTAAAAATGTTTTCAGAAAAACAATCTTTTTCCGAGCTATCTTTCAAGCACTGTGTATTCTTCACTAAGTACACACCAAACCATCTCAAAGCTACTGAACTGGCTGTCTGAAGTGTATCTATATGTCTGTCTAGTAAGCACAAGTGTGTGAGAAGGGAAAAAATGTTAGGTCAAAGTCAATCTCTTCACTCAGAAAACACTTTAGACAAATGCTTTCAGCATTTTTTATTCTAAGAAAATTTTAAGAGGTTCTGGTGCCTGAGTAATAACAGCATAAATTGGCTTAAGAGCAGCAGAGTACTCCAGCATTTCAAGAAGTTGTAAATTAGCAAGAAACTGAGTAACAAAGAAAGAAAAGTATTGGCAGAAATACCTCCTCAGGGAGATCTTCATGTGGCACATCAGATGTTGCAAGGAGCAAAACTGGAGCAAAGTACGGAATGTTATTCAGCAATCCTGTAAAACCAGCTTTCAGTGTAGGTCCAACAGCCTCCCACCACGAAGAGATTTGTGGGATATAAATGATACTTGGTGCTGTCCTTTGAGCTTCCCTTATCAACTAGTAAAATGAAAGCTTGGATAAGAAAATTGCATCATGTAGAACAGGCCACTGAGTAACTACGTATCAGTCAGACTATCTTGTGAAATAGGAGCGCATAAAGCCAAGACATCAAGACAAACCAATGAATGAACAATTCCTTAACAATAAGGTAACATTTTCACTTTGAGTCAAACATAGACATTGCTATGCAGACAGAAACAGAACTGAATCAGATTTCAAAACTACTTAGGGGTAAGGTAACTCCTAAAGAGCCTCAAAACTCAGATGATGTGATGATGTGCCTGAAAAATCAAGACTAATCCTTCAGCAAGATGTGTTAGCCTGGAGAAATCACTACATAACTTGTGCCTGCACCATTTCCATTTCAGTTCATTTGCCCATACCCATGTTAGACTGGAGCACAGCCTGAACAAAGACCTATGTGAAAAGATAAGGGCTAGCACAGTAAAATAAGACTGGTCACAAATCATAATTTCAAGAACATTTGAAACATGTAAGAGGTCACTCATCCTTAGCCTGCCTGAAGAGCTAAATCGCTCAGAGCCTCTCATTCCTCTCATTATCAAAGCATCCACCAGACCAGATGATGTGCTTTGAAAGACCACAAACCACTGCCTACAAACGGCACTTCAGTCACAGAAGAGGACACAAATTTACTTCATGAGGGAAGTGGCAACAGTGCTTTCACATGGCAAATTTCTCCATGCATCATTTCAGAGTGATAATATGTAGGGAGTCCCTGTCACAAATGTGTGATATATCCGTGCAGCAGTCAGGGTATTTACATAGCCATAGGTGCAACCATGACATAAAAAAAAGATAATTGCTCCTCCTGTATGGCAAACGAGTATCCAGTCACATGATGAGTCTGTCCTGACTTGTACAGCTCTAAAATGCTGCTAATAAAGATAAACATATTTTAATACAGCAATGCCAAGTAATTAAATTGATTTCCTGCCTAAAAGTAAAAAAATCAAAACTGCAGTAATCTGCTAATATTTTTTTCCTAGTTAAGGGACACACATCAGTTTGCACATTTAAGCATTCCATTAATTGGAATGCTTTCATTGCATTTCACTGCAGTAGTACAGACTGCATTTGTATATTCAAAAAAACTTCTTTTCACAAAAACTTTGGCTGCCTTACAAATACAATAAAAAAAAAGGTTACAAAAAGTGCATGACACCATCAGGGTGATGCAGAGCCAGCTACTGGGAGCAGAGAGACCTAAGAAGTAACAAAACCAACTTTCTGCATCCCATAAAGACCAGCAGGATCACTTGCCACAAAGAGGGGCTTATTAGCAGCCCCTCCCACCTTCCCAAGCTGCTAGCAACATCTTCCCTCTTTCATTTCAAATAGAAATGAAACATGGCTATGTAAAAATCTCCTTATTCAGTATCATTCCATCTACAAGAAAAGTGAATTCTCAGACAAAAGTAAACACATAACAGCAAATTCAAATCAGGCCAAGTCCATTAACAGTGATTTGTGCTTATGTTACTAGCTTATATACAGTTCAAGAATCCTATGAGAACAACAGCAGCAGCAAAAAAAGATACCTGTGAACACGTTTCTTCCTGTGATGTGGTGCTAACAAACAAGGTGGGTAGATCTAGTGTATAAGCTGGAAACTTTTCCAGGGCATGTAATATGGCAGGTGCCAAATCAAAAGCCTGCCCACATCCTGGCTCTTCAACTAGTAAGAACCGTGGCCTGAAAGATGTTGGCTGGTAAGAAGGATTTCTACAACAGTAAGAAGAAAACAAGTTTAAAAAAGTGTGATGAAGATGCACAGAGATGTTAAATACTTTTCCCTTTTTTTTTTTATTTTGGTAAATATGTTCCATGTTCCACTAAATACCACTAAATAATGAGCTGCTCTGTGATTCTGTGATCAAGAAACCAGTCTATTTATCAAAGTCTATTTTCTCAAAAACTGGTATCACTCCTCTGCTAAAACATCCTGCCAGTTCCCAGCATGTCTATTATTCCTTTGGCTGGGTTAATTAACAGTTCTTAAATCCCACAGGGGGAATGTCCAGACAAACACACACAAAACAGCCGGTCAGTAACCTGATAACAGGGCAAAATAACAATTCTTACAGCTCAAACCAGTCTGAGTCTCTTTACTGTCCATACACAGCTTGTCTTGACTTTAAGTGAGATCTCTACACCTGTCAAATTTAGCTAAAATTTGGCCACAGTTCCTGGAGATGGTGGGAAGAAAGGGGCAAAACCACATTTCTAGGAAAAAAACAAATGTGCTTAGTGAAATACATTATATGTATCTGAAGAAGAACATGACTTGATTGCTTAAATTACAGCACTACACTAAATATGTGTAAGATTTATATTAATTTTATTCAGTCATTCTAGTTGTTTCATCTTTGTCTTGGACATTAATTTCCTAGTCATCTTGCTTTACTTGCATGAAATACACTTGTGAAGAGGTTTGTGCATTTTCCCACCACATTACTATTGTACCTTTACTTGCTGAAGTAAAAGACCCTAGAAACCTAACCAACCTCAACAAGTCATATTTCCCGGGCAGCACAGCCATAGGAAGGGAGAAAAATATCTGACAATAATCTATTTTTAAAGCTATTGGACTACACGACTTCGACAATTAAAATGTCAAAAGATCACAAAAAATCAGTAGGGTAAAGGTAAAAAATGGAGGCATCATTTAAATTTTTCTCCCAGTGATTTAACAAACCACTTCTTGATTTTGTTTCTGATACATAATTTGCTATTGGTTCAACCATCTTGGAAGGTAAAAGATGGCTACATAAATCCATGGAGGTTTTTTAAGCTAAAAGGACAGAATGAGCATTTTTTGGGTCTTTGAAGGAATACTATGGATTAAACCAGCTTGCTTTAATGGTATGTGAACCAGTTTGACTTAGTAAAAGAAGGCTGGGCTGATCTGTTTTACAAGTTGGGGCACTATAGTCAGAACAGTTAGATCTAGTACCCAGCTGGATCTTCATGGTTGAATTCTTGCAAATATTGATCACCTCTCCACACACTCTTAACTCCTTCATCTAGCAGCCCTCAAATATTTACATAACATTTTACAGATGCAGCCATCTCAAAAATGTCACCATAAAGAGGACAAACATGTACCGGCTCAAAGTGCGGAATTCTGCCTTTTTGCTCTCAGGCTTCTTTTCAGAGGCTGATGGTGAGTCATCATCATCACTGTCAATCCCATAGCTCCCTAAAATAGTATTTAAAGACAAGAGAAATTTGTTATCTTTACTGAATAGTTCATATTTCGCTCTTGCTTTAATACACCTTTGAAACCAGTGTTGGAAAACATTTCTCTTGCATTTTGTTATTTGAATGCTATTATCTGAGGGGTACATCCTACCACAGATCTAAGGGCATTGCACAAACTTATGCAAAGCTGTCCCATGTCCTATGATTTGCATCAGGTATTATCTCTCTATTGACAAACACTTGGGAAGTTTTTTCCTTAGAATGAAGATGATCAGGAACAATTTCTGTAGTTGTTAGGCATCAGAAAAACCCTTCTCCTCTCATTTAAGCATTTATTTACTATATTTATAATAACTATTGATTATATCAATGGACAAAGTTTCAAAAGTTTTCAAAGGGTTACAGATGTCATTTATCTGGACTTCTGTAAAGTTTTCATTTTCATCATTCCCCACAGTGTCCTTCTCTTTAAATTGGAGACAGATGGATAAGTGATAAGTGGACTATTAAACGGATAAGAAAGTGGTTGGATGGTCACATCCAGAAGGTAGCAATCAATTGCTCAGAGTTCCAGTTGACATCAATGACAAGTGGTGTCCCTCAGGGGTGCCTACTGGGACTAGTGTTATTTAATATCTTCATTAATGACACAGATAAGGGAATTGAGTGTAACCTCAGTAAATTTGCAGATGACACTAGGCTGAGTGATGCAGTTGACACACCTGAAGTAACGGATGCCATCCAGAGGGACCTGGACAAGCTCAAGAACTGCAACAATGGGAATCTCATGAGGTTCAACAGGTCCAAGTTCAAGGTGCTGCACCTCAGTCAGGGCAATTCCCATTATCAACACAAGCTGGGGATGAATAGATTGAGAGCAGTCCTGCCAAGAATGACTTAGGGCTGCTGGTGGCTGAGAGGCTGGACATGACCCAGAAATGTGCTCTTGCAACAAGAAAGGCAATTGTGTCCTTGCCTCCATCCAAAGCAGTATGGGCAGGAGGCCAAGGGAGGGGATTCTGCCCTCTGCTCTGGTGAGACCCCACCTGAGGGCTGCATCAGCTCTGGGGTCCCAGCAAAGAAAGGACATTGACCTATTGGAGCAAGTCCACGGAGGGCCACCAAGATGATGAGAGCAATGGAGACCTTTCCTATGAGGAAAGACTGGGAAAATTTGGTTTGTCTAACCTGGAAAAGACAAAGCTTCAGGTTGACCTACTTTTGAATTTCCAGTACCTGAAGAGAACCTACAGGAAAGATGAAGGACTCCTTACAAGAGCATGTGGTGGGAGGACAAGGGGAAATGGATTCAGACTAAAAGAGAGTTAGTTTAGATTGGATAATCGCAAAAAATTCTTTACTCTGAGAGTGGTAAGGCATTGAAACAGGTTGCCCAGAGAAGTCATAGATGCCTAGTTCTTGGAAGTGTTCAAAGCCAGGCTGGATGGAGCTCTGAGCAACCTGGTCTAGTGGAAGGTGTCCTTGTCCAAGGCAGGGGGGTTGGAACTAGATTACCTTTAATGTCCCTCCAATGCAAATCATTCTATGATGCTACAATTTGGAAAGAAGTGCCTCATATGTGAAACCTTAGATCCATCTCTGAGATTACAATGGGATGTGAGCTACTGTCAGTAATTGGGGGCTCCAGTAGAGAACTTAGAGCTCTCCACTGACACACAGCTCCCACTCTGCACATGCAAAGTATAACAATTAGATGTTATTGTAATACCTTGAGTCTTCAGTGCAAGCTTTGCATGGGGAAATGGTCTCTGCAAGGCTTGTAAAATTCTTTCCAAGGTGTTTTCTAACAGAGGCTTTGAAATAGATGGTAGTGCTCTCCCAGGTGAAGCCCCAGCTCTCTGTGATGCTGGAACAATCTTCTGCATGGCCATGGCAAAATCCTTTGCTGTTACTTTAATGGATCTGGCATCTATCTTCAGTCTTTTGTCACTTTCATGTATCTGTGGATAGCGGCGGCGCAAAGCACAGAGCCCAGCTTCAACACACAAGGCTTTAATATCAGCACCACAGAATCCTGACAAACAAAACAAGAACCAAATGTTACATCAACATATATTTGTGTTATATAGGTTAAAAACTGCCTGGATGGCCTGGCCAGGAGTGTTGGTGAATGATGCTACATCCAGTTGGCAGAGGGTTCACTAGTGGTGTTCTCCAAGGCTCAGTACCGAGTCCAGTCCTTTTTAATATCTTCATCAATGATGTGGATGAGGGGATTGAGTACACTCTCAGTAAGACTGTGGACAACACTACGCTGGGTGGGAATGTTGATCTGCTGGAGAGCAGGAAGGCTCTGCAGGGGGATCTGGACAGGCTGGATCAATGAGCATGAGGTTCAGCACAGCCAGGTGCCAGCTCCTGCACCTCTGTCACAGCCCCATGCAGTGACACAGGCTGGGGGCAGAGCGGTTGAACGCTGGCCAGGGGAAAAGCACCCACACTGCTTTCAAACTCACCAACACATTTCTCAGCCAGGTCTTCAAGTATGTTGTCTGACGGCTTCAGGGTCCAGTCTCGTGTGTGAATTTTGAAAATTTCTAATCTTGCCTAGAAACAAAATAGTTGCATTTAGTTTGCCTTAAGTTTTCTCTTAAGAAAACAACCACAACACAAAACCCCCAAACCTCTCACAATAGTACTTTTGTCTGCTAAACTTCTAAGTATTTTAAACATCAGTTATTAATACATTCGTTGCTTCTTCAAGCAGGAAATTTAATAATTCTTAAATTCTTACATCAAACTCTTGTAGGAGAAAAAAGGCAGGTGCATCTTCCATAAAAAGTGAGTTTTATAAGCATGAGACCTAATGATTTTGAAGAACAAATTGTAGTAAAAGCCTCATCTGTAAATGGACATTTTGCATCAAAGAAAATTCTCTCAAATTTAGCAAAATTTCACAGTGAAACTTAGCAAAATTTCACAGTGAGGTTTCAGTAGTTCGTCAAATTTGCTTTTGTGCCAGTTGATTCAAAGAAAACAGTTCTATTTAAAATTGGTACAGTTGCTACCAAGAACAAAAACTATGACTCAGACTACTGTCACTCATCCAGAAAATGTCAAACATGGCCCATTATCATCTCTGATCCGAGCAAGACTTTCAGTGAAGTATCTTCTGGTTCACAGATTAATAATGGCACACTTCTAGAATTCTTCCACAGCAGGGAATTGTGTATTAGATCTGTTTCATGGCACCTTGTCTCTTGTCCCTGAAAGCACATAGATACTGTATACAAAGGTTTGTGCTAAATGCAGTGTTTCATGCACTTTTGCTAGCCTTCAATACAACTAGCCTTTTATCTTTGCTCCAAAAATTGCCAAGAAATACCAGTGATAGTCAGAGAAAAAACACAAAGGCAGGGTTACAATTTTGTGCACCATCTCTCCCCCAAACATCCCCATCCCAATATTTTTGTTGCTATAAAACAAATTTCTTCATTGCTTAGCTATTGCCACTGAACTCAAAGTGCTGCACCTGTGCAGTGTACTTCATATCTTTGTCCAAGAGAGAAGTAACTACTTGTTGACATCATCTTACTCCTATATATGTTCAGTACCAGGTTTGCCCTTCACAGTACAATGGAAAGTCTCCAGATGTCCCTCTTGTGTGCAAGCTGTACACTACAGATGGAGACTTGCACTGCTCCACAATGCTGCCTTGTTACAGGGGGTTGGTACAAAGATGGACTTTGTCACATAAGACTGATTTGAAGTTCTGACCTCTTTGTTTGGCAAGTTGAAGCGGAATTCTCGTTCAAAGCGCCCAGGTCTTCGTAAGGCAGGGTCTATGGAATCCAGTCTATTGGTCGCTCCTATTACCACAACCTCTCCTCTGCTGGCTAAGCCATCCATGAGTGTCAGAAGTGTCCCCACAACAGAGCTAACAGAAAAACATAATTTTCGTTCACTGGTTTAGTAAATTTTCTTGAGTCCCACATAACCTTCTCCAGTGATCATTCAAAAATGACAGGTTTCTATTGACAAGACACTGATCAGTGAAAGAATTATTTTAGTACAGCAAAATACAGGTAAGGTAACACAGACCTTGAACTGATATCAAGCTAAGTGAATTGTTTCCATTTATTGTTTAAAAATCATCTGAAATTCACCAGCACTGAATTACTAGTTTTCAGGTAAAATGAAGGTGTCACATCAAGATAAACAGGTTGTGGTCTTTTCACAAAGACCAAACATGTCCTACCTGTGAACCTGATCTTGCTTGCTGGACCGTACAGGAGCAAGAGCATCGATCTCATCAAAGAAAATAATTGAAGGTCGCATCTGGTAGGCCTACAAATAAAACACAGGAACACAGACATCAGGAAAACATTACTACTTGAAAGAGAAGAAAGACATTATGGTTGGAAAGGCACTGGAACTAGATTTTTTTAATCAGGGATCTTATTAATTAGCCTAATGTGAAACAGCAGCTTGTCAACAGAAAACAGCAGCGTGTCAACCCACTGAGACTGGGTGACAGGAAACAAATCATACCAGATTTTTTTACTGCTATTTGGCAACCACGAGGACAGGGCTCAAAGTTTCTGGAAGTGACTTCCCATTACTAATTTAAATGAACGTGTGCATCTGTTTCCCTGTCACGTAAAGCTACCATCTCTTGCTTCTTGAGACCATTTTTATGACTGAGTTGTGTACATGGTGAAGGGCTTTTCAGGGTGGTGGTGATTTTCTTGTTTGCTTTAGTAATCTTTTCAATACATCTCAAGAGACTCCACTGAGAAAGGGAACACTGGTAATCCCATTTCAGTGGAAGATTACAAAACATGAAAAAGAGTGAGTTCTTGACCACAAAAAGTTAGCTACAATTCCAACAGAACACATGGCATATTTCAACCTTACCTGCTCAAACACTAAACGCAGCTGTCGTTCAGATTCTCCTACCCATTTACTCATGCAGTCGGCAGCACTTCTCATAAAAAAGGTCACTTTCCTGTCACCTCTGCTACATTCATTAGCAAGTGCACGAGCAACCAGGGTCTTTCCAGTACCTGGTGGACCATAGAATAAACAGCCTCTACAATTTAAAAGAAAGGATTTTTTTAAAAATTCACATAAGAAAAAATGTAATGGCAAAGTATTTATTTCAACCCCCATCCCTAAAATACACAACTCTGCACTCCTAGGCTGAGCACTTCATGGATATTTTAGTAACAGCTGAAGTGTGAGAAAAGTCAAAAGTGTTCCTACACAATTCTGCAAGACAAAGGAAACAAAATTAATGAAGAGAATAATGCAGATGTACAAAAAGACAGTAGCATCCCAGTTCTGACAAACCAACAGAGATGGTTGCAGTAGAGTGAAGCAAAACAAGAGCAAATTTCCAATGCAGAATCTGAGACTGAGCTATCTTAGGAATCATCAGTTCATTTTTTCAGAGATAAACTGCATATTCATTCTTGCTTTCATAAAAGTCGAGATTTGAGAGCAAAGCATTTCATTCCCCCTTAAAAAGCTTTGAGTTGCTGGATTTGGTCTCCCTTTGCTGGTGATTAAGGAAGAGGAAGTAGTCTAAAAATGGGAAGGTATTCTGCATTTCTGTATTTCCATCAACTAGAAGAGTCAATGCACTGCTGCTTCAAGAAGAATTTCAACGAATAAAGAAGCAAAACACAGATTTTCTTTTGTTTGTAATACTTTTAAATTCACTGGAAGCAAATAATTTAAAGTCCTATTTCAATATACCATGAGCAAAGATACATAAAGCCAATGAATCTCCAATAATTTCATTTCATAACACAGAACTGGCTTAGCTGTGTAAGAAGGGGACATGTGGAGGGATACAATGTAAGAAAATAGTGCAGGAGGTAGTCTCACACCTGAGGAGCTGAAGCTGTACTAATCACCAAAGATTAGGAACAGGCCTGCCCTTAATAGACCACAGCTGTGTCCCATAAGAAGTGAGTGCTACAAAAGAGTGGTTTAACTGGTTGAGGAGGGAGTTGGAGTTTGTTGGTTGTGTTGTGAAGAAGAGTTAGTGCTGTGAGGAACTGCTCGTGAGAAATCACCAAGAAGGCATGGCAGCTTTGCAATAAGATGACAACAGTTGGTGAGACTGATTTGATTCTGACATAATCCTGTGGTGATTCAGGTAGAGAACTGTAGAGAGAGCAGTAAGGAGGTGATCCTGCGGTGGTTTGGGAAAAAGGACTTAAATATTAAACAATGTGATCCCAAGGTGATTCAGGAAGATGGCTGCAGACCTAAGAGAAATTAGATGGTGGAGTCAGGCAGACCAAGAGCCTGAGAGCCTAAAAATCCAGATGAGCTATAGCCAGGCAGACCTGAGAGCCTAGAAGTCTGGACAATGTATGGGATACCACCCCCAAGAAGAAGAGTGCTGGATATGAGGAGTGGACGCTACACGCTTTGCTTGTTTGGCGCATTGGAGCAAGCCCTGTGGCCCCTGCCAAGGTATGGCTGCAGTCCAGAGGGGACCCAGGACGGTGCCAGGCTCCCCCTGAAGGGCAGTGTGTGCAGCAGGACACAAGAGTGGCACCATAGAAGTGGCAAATGGCCTGGACACAGCAGCAGCAGCCGGTGCCTCAGCAATGGCATGGCCCCTGAGGAGCACAGGGGGAGGTTTGCTCAGGTGCTGCTGCATGAGCACTGGAACAAAAGCAACATAGAGCTCTGAGAGGCAGAGTCAGAGCTGCACAGACAATATGTAAGAGAAGCCTCCTAAAACTGTTTAGTGGCCATCTCCACAGCAACCCAATGTCATTTGGGATTGGGCTGTAGGGTGAGATGCAGCCGGAGATGGAGCCCAGCATAGCACTGAGAGCAGCAGGGGAGACTGCCTGGTCCAGACCTGACAGATTTTGACACCTGGAGCACAGGTGAGCCGCTGGGGACACAATGGGAAATAACATGTCAAGTGAAGAACAGATTGTTTCATCTACATGGAAAACAGAGCAGGGCAAGAGAGGCTTGCAGTGACCAACTAATACAACAAAAAACTGTAAAGGGAAGAAGAGAATTATTAAAACAGCAGTTGGAACTGGGGACAGAGTCGCTCTATCGTTCAGTATAGTGTATTTGTTTGCTGATGAAACGTGCGTTTTGTTTGTGAATTGCAGCTATTAATGTTCAATTGGGCATAAGTGAAAAAGTTTATATTCCATAAGCATAAGTACACCTGACAGATACTGGACTGATGTTGTTCAAGTTGTATAGCTATTGATAAAATGATGTAACTGTTGATTTGTTACTATCCTAATATATATAGCCTTTAGCTTATTCTTGTGAGTTGCCTTATGAAGGTATACAGCTATTGATACTGTCAATATTCTAGAAGTGTAAGTATAAGAGTTTCTGATAATATGTAATGTAAGTTTGAGTAATGAATCAAGGTCAGCACGGAGATGCATTCCAACGTTAAATGGAAGTTACGCAAAAGATGATTGTACTGGGTTTACTGTCTTTTGCAAAGGGCCCTGCAAAAGACAGTAAACACAATGTTCGTTTATGAAAAGCCTTAGGTTGATGCTCTAGACTGTGAAAAGCAAAACTAAATCAGAACTTAGAAACATATGTTCCTAGTGACGTGTTGGCTGAATATTTGTATACAGTTAGTCCTTAAGTGAGATATGTGAATATGTTATAATATCAATTTACTCAAACATATCTTTCCAGAGATGTTGCAACTTTGTAATTAAAAGAAAAGGGGGAATTGTGGAGGGATAGAATGTAAGAAAATAGTGCGTAAGATAGTCTAGCACCTGAGGAGCTGAAGCTGTACTAATCACCGAAGATTAGGAACAGGCCTGCCCTTAACAGGCCACAACTGTGTCCAATAAGAAGAGAGTGCTACAAAAGAGTGGTTTAGCTGGGTGAGGAGATGTTGGAGTTTGTTGGTTGTGCTGTGAGGGGAGCTGCAGTTTGTTGGCTATGCTGTGAAGAAAAAGGACTAAGTGTTATGAGGACCTGTCCATGAGAAATCACTGAGAAGGTGTGGGAGCTTTGCAATAAGATGACAACAGGCACAGATTGTTATTTTAGCTCAAACATAAAAAACACTGCAAAGTTCTAGCTGCAAGTCCCATCAATTGCAAAACTAATACCTGAAATACTTGAGGAAAAAAAAAGAGTTGGTGTAAGACAAAACTGGGCTTCCACAAAACAAATTACAGTCAACTAGCAGCAGATAATGCCCTCCTACTCACAAACTGATCAAGTCCACTTGCATGCCAGACTCTAAAAAAAAAAAATAAATCTCCAACTCCATCTTTTAAAGACTAGTTTTGACACAGTAAATCTCTGAACATACATATATACTATATTCTATCCTTTCTTTTAAGTTACTTTTTATTAGTGCCTAAAAGAATCGTAAACACTGCTGAAAACTTTGAAGCATAGAAACATGTTGATACCCCAGCTGGATATTCTCCTGAAAATAACTGAGTTAAGAACTTACAGTTTTAAATGGTGTCTCTTACCTTGGAGGCTTAAATTTCAATATCTCAAAGACGTCAGGATAAAGCAACGGCAAAATGACCATCTCTTTTAAAGCTGAAATGTGGTCAGAGAGACCACCCACACCATGAAATTGCGCCTAAAGACAAAGTCAACAGAACACATGTTAAAGAAAGCTGCAATATCTATAAGGTTCCATCACAAATTAGATGTCAGCACAAAGAAAATGTTAGTGGCAATTTGAAATTGCTTTAGAGAAAACTGTAAGTCAAAGGAGCTGCAGAGAGCCCATTACTGGAAGCTTCCATAAATACTGCAAATGTCCCACTGACACCATGAGGTAAAAATACTTACTGAACCATCTATTTGCATTTGCTCCACACCAGCCAGGCTTGCTCCAATTTTCAAGTGATCCTTGTGAACTTCATTGAAGTTGCCTTTCCGAGTTGCTTCAGTTTTTATGTGATCATTCAGAGGTCCCTTTATTTGGAGCTCATCTTTCTGAGAGTTGGCTGAAGGAGACCTAATTTGAATTAAGGAAAAAGAAAAAAGTGCTTCCTAATTTATGATGCAGTTAGATAATTTTTGATTTTCTAATGATAACAAGTAAATCCAAAAGACCTTATAAATGAGCATAAACTTCCTAAATAGTTATGCATTCCAGCAGTTTTATGTTTAATGGCCATGACTAAATAAACAACTTTAAACTGAGCTAATTATTTTAACAACTCTTAGCACTTACAAATATGAGTATTGCAACTTATAATTTAGAATTTCATTAGGCATTTTTCTTGTTTAAGGATAGTTTTATAAAGAAATGTGAACTCTCTTGAGTGATTGAATAAAAAATCCATTTAAACTTCCATACAGGCTCTCCTTGTAAGTTGTCCTCAGTTTTAATAAATTGTACCCTTCAAGATTAAGTCTTAAATCTTAATTTGTGCACTCTTCAAGTCTAAGATTTTCAGAGGGACATTATGGCTTCCATTCCAGAAAAATGAAATTTCAGTTACACAATCTTAGCCACAACTCCCATTACCACCTCATTAGTGACCAAAAAATACAGCATTTTCAAATAAAATCTAAGGACTAGTAAAAAGGATGGCCTCCCCTGCAGTGTATGTTTTCCTTATACCCTCAGACTACTACAGTAGTAATCTGCAATTATATTAATCTCTAATTATCACCAGTCCAAAAAACCTTGAAAGTATTATTCAGTCATATGAACAGCACAACACATATCAACAGCAGTCTTATAAAGGAGAACTATCATAAACCATACACCAACCTTTTTGGTTTTTTGCTTGAATCTCTCTCTTTGACAGGTGGAGTATGGTTGGACGAGCTTACGTTACGTTTTCTTACATCTGGTAAAAGCAAAAAACTTAGAATTTGTTACAAACAAGTTTGAGGGAAACCAGGATAGTCAAAGGCAGAAAATGGGACATGTATTATCCATCTCTAAGTTCAGGGAAAGTTTCAAGGAGGGGATGTTGGGTGGTTTAATCAGTGCACAATAGAAATAAAAAGACACACCTGATTTTTAAGGAAAATTGAAAACCACAAGAGTAAGACTATTAAATCTCTTTGTTATTTTTTTAAGCATAGATAGGTAATTTTTTAAACTGAAAAGCAACAATAAGGACACCAAATTGCAAGGAAAAAACCAGAATGCACGCAGGATACATGCATTCAATAAAATTTACTGGCAGAATGAAGTAAGAAATATAGAGAAGTTGTGTGCATGTATTTTCATTTAGAAATAAAAAGGAAACCTAAATCAACAACCCCTCACTTTCATACAAGAAATTAGCTCTCAAGAGAAACTGTATAATATGTAGTATTGTACAACATACTGTATTGGGTCTGGCTGGGATAGAGTTAATTTTCCCCCCAGCAGCTCTCACAGTGCTGTGCTGTGCCTTGGTAGCTGGAAATGTGTTGAACACACTGGTGTTTTGGCTACTGCTGAGCAGTGCTGGCACTGCATCAGGGCTGTCTCCCCAGCATTCCACTCCCAAGCAGTAGGCTGGCAAAATCCTGGGAGGGGGACACAGCTGGGATAGTTGACCCAAATTAACCAAAGAGATTTTCCATACCATGTGACGTGAGCTTAGCTATAAAAGTTAAGAAAAGTAGGAGGAAGGAGTAGTATTTGTTTTTTAAAATGTTTGCGTTCTGGAGCAATCACTACACGTGCTGAAGCCCTGCTTCCCGGGAAGTGGCCAGACATTGCTTGCTGATGGGAAGTAGAAAACAAAACCTCTTTTTTTTCTTTGTTTGTGCACAACCTTATTCTTTTGCTTTGGTGAACTGCTTTAACCTACAGATTGCCTTCCATCTTATTTTCTCTCCCCAGTTCAGCTGAGAAGCGAGGGTAACAGAGCAGGTTGGTGAGCACAGGTGTCCAGCCAAGGCAGCCCAGCACACCTACTTTCCAAGGGAGATTCGTAGCGCTCAACAGCTTTCCTCTGCCGGAAGGAGCGGCGCAGGCCATCACCTTGTCTTCCTTCACTTCCTTCTGGTGAAACCACTGCACATCAACACAGTGGTAAGTTGCGTAAGTACTGTTGCAAATGTGATGTATTCAAAACACACTATATGACACATTCCCACCTGTCCACAACTTTTTATCTTGTAAGCATTTCAGAAAAACAAGTGGATTTTCTTTTTCCTCTGAATACCTGTTCTAAGCTCACTACTGTACAGCTCTAGAGCTTGTAACGGCAATAGCAACATAAATTCTTTAATAGGTGAAAAACAACAAGTAGTTCAGCCCATCTCAATTGTTAAAGACAAGGCTTTTGGCTAGAGAGTAGTCAAGAAAATTTAAAGCAGAAATAGCCTGCAATGCTACCTGGATCATCAGGATTTTCATTGTTAGTTCTTTCCATATTGAGGCTTTCCTAATACAGAGAAACAAGAAAGATCAGTCAGAATTATGCAAAAAACCTGTGGGCATATTTGGTATATATATAGTAACATTTTCAAGGCACTCTATATACACAAAAGATTGAATTAGGCACAAGAGGAGAGAATGGGAGCATCTCTCTGGTACCCAGGATTAACAACAAGTATTTCTGCTCTAAAATAGGGTTTAGTACATGTGATAGTTAAACACTTCACCAGATGCAAAAAATTGTGCATCATTAATCCCAGGTAAATAATCCAAGAGTGTAGCAGAATCTAGGACAAAGCAATTCCTAGCAGGCAAAAAAAAAAAAAATCATCCTGGTACTTGGGAGATGATAAACAAAGTACTGTGGAAAAATCTGATTTCATTAAAAAACAAACAAGGAAACAAACAAACCAAAGAAAACATAAAGGAAATCACATCTAAACAAAAAAAGACCTATCAAAGCAGGCTATGAAGATGTTCAAAAAACAAAGCACCTGTCATTCAAAACGAGAATGGACTAACTTAATTGAGGAAAACTAAGAGGGAATTTGGCTGCTGAATATAATTTTAACATGAGTTCCTCTCACAGCAGAGGACTACTTGAGCTCACAGGCAAGGCTGGCACAAAACCAAACACAGATACAGCACTCATCAGTTTTTAGTAGGATTTGAAGTGAAATCTCAAGCCCTGAAACAGCTATTCATAAGCAGAGTCCATTCAAAAGTCATAAGGCAATTCAGAAAGCATAGTTTATGGCATGTTTGCAGCATTTCGCTGCTATTTTTGAGTTTCTTCTGAAGAAGATATTCCTTTACCCTTAGAGTGTAGAGATGTGCCATGACTGTAAGGTATTAAACTATAACTGGAGAGCAAAAATAAATAGGTTTCTAGACTAAACTGCGCTTTGGAAGAGGTTTGTTGAGCTAAATTAAAAATACAACTAAATAATTCCTCTACATGAAATACCCTACAAATCTTTTCCCTGTCATCCACTTTTTTGCAAGACTGCTTCTGAAGTACTATGATACAGAATTGATATGTAAGAACAAAGATAGCCAGGTACAAGAAACGTCATTGAAACCAGCACACATGATCATATGATGTTTCAATACAGTGTGCACAAAGCAAGTCTTTGACCTCCAGCCAAGTTTTTCATCACTACATAAAATTAGGTCCAAAAGTTCATTTTTTTACAGAGAGATTTAAGAACAAGTGGTTAAGCATTTGCAAACATGCGCCATTTTCAGGTCTATTTTCCCCTCTTGCTGAGCACAATAAAAAAAATCTAACTTAGCAATTTAAAAATGAATTCTGAAGATCATATTAAGATAACAAAGAAATTATGGAAGTTTGTCATCACAGTTAGGTTGGTCTGCATGACGGCATTAAGTCATTTTTATTTCACAGCCTTCCTCAGACAGCAGACTCACAGAGTGTGTTGGAAGGAAGTGACGAGGACCATCGACTTCAATAAGATTGATTATTCTTCTTGTAACTGGAATTAAGGTCTTACACGGATTTTCTATGATTGTATATGGTGGAAAAAACGTCTCATTGCTGTTACACTTTGCAAGCCTTTCTGAAAACAATGTCAGTGTGGGCTTCACAAAGGGAATTAAGATACAGACACACAGACAGAAACACTAGTACTGCTTCACTTTGTATCCAACTTTCCACCATGTCTTAACTCGACCTGGCATTACAAAATTAGTTTTAAGCATGAAAGAAAAATTAATTAAACATCAAGATGCTTCTGATGCAAGAAAACTGATTTAGAGGAAAAGTTAAATCTACTCAGTCACAACATAAAGTCACTGTTTTGGAGCACAAGAACCAGCCTACACATAACAGAGGCTCAGGTGTGATCTCTCTGCAACAGGCAATCCCAAAATGAGGACACCAGCAGCCAATTAAAACTTCACTGTGCTCAAATTCTTTACACATGAAACACCTGCTAAATATATCCTTCTGAACATACTCTCAAGTCTTAAACAACCTCAAGAACCTGTTGCCAAAAAAACCTCAGGTTCAGAAGAGCTTGGCTGCAAAGTACAAAGGCCAACACTTTATATAAACTAGCACTTTAACAATAATGACAGGACATACCCATGCAGGCAGAGTGAAAGAGAGGGACCCTATGTGCCAACTGCAGCGGAATGTTTACAGGAAGGCTGAGAGGTTGCTGAGCAACAGCCCCTCGCCAAAGTTCCAGCCTTGGCCACACCCAGTCCTAGTAGGACTCTGCTGTGGAAAGTCCCACTTGCAGCCTAGAACTTGGCAATTACAGAATCTTGGAAAGGTTTGGGTTGGTGAGAACCTTTAAAGATCATCTGATTTCAACCCCTCTGTCATGAGCAGGGACCCCTTTCACTTGACCAAGTGGCCCATCCAAGCTGGCCTACAACAGGGCATTCACAGCTTCTGAGGGCAGCCTGTTCCACTGCCTCACCACCCTCACACTAAAGACACACGGTACATGTGGTGGCACCTTGGAAAGTCTCAGCTCAAACACATTTATCCCTTGCTGCCAGCAACAATACCTTTTTCTGTTGTCAAAAGACAGGGAAAATCCCTAGCCAATATTATGCACAAAGCCTTGCTAATAGGGCTAATTTAAGGAGCTCTGCAAGATGATGAAAAATCCTAGTCACTTTTAAATCTGCCAAACAAAACATTGATTTGTAGTGGTGTAACTACTTTGTCAAGTCTGCAGCTTTGGTGGACCTCAAAATCACCTTTTCTTCAGCTTTTATCCCAACCCATACTACAGAAAGTATAATGTGATACTGGTTTCATACTAATTTTTTCCATAAATACAAATGAACTGGCATTAATTCTGCTACTCGCTTTTAATTCATTATTAATTCAGTTTCATGTTATCTGTTCCATTACTTTTTCCAAGGAATTATGTGACACTGTCAAGTCTATAATTTCCTGGTTAATTTCTTTTATTCTGTTTAAATATTAGCATGTTACCCTTCCTTTGCAATGCAATCCTGAAATTTCCCCTGTGTAGCAAGAGTTACTGAAAATCGACAGTAACAGTCCAGCTCTTCAACAGTGCCTCTAAACCTGTAGGATACGGCTTATTCAAACCTGCTCATTTAAAATGTTTCATTTCCTGTTCCAAAGTAAAAATAGTTCCTGAAGCAGATACAGCTCTTATCCCTCCAAATCAAGCCAGTAAGAATGGGAATGCCCAGAATCCCCCATCACTTGAAATAAGTCATAGAAGACAATTACAGGAATAACTTCTGGGATACAGAGGAGAACACCACAAGTGAATGCTCTTTGACCTGTTAGTTGTTAAAACACAGCTGTTTCTGGTTTGGCATATGTGGAAACTGAGATATAGGGAACCTTACCAATATCCACAGTGCATGTAGCAAACACAAGAGCAGAAGTTGGGAGGTCGGAACAACTCATGGCCTAACAGCTACTGGCTGCTCCTCATACATCCTTCACTATTAACCTAGAGGTTCCAACCAAATATCACCACATCAAAGCACAAAACATCATGTACGGCTGTTCACTGTTAGCTGTGATTCCATCTTTTTATTGGAATCACAGTTAATATTAACTATGAAAAGGAAAGTAAAACAAGTAGTTGCTGGGGTTTTTCTTTCTTTGTACAATTTCTGGGGTTTGCCTCAGCGATTTTTTTTTTGTAACATAGTCAGCACATGTGGAATAGGCATGATGTATAATTGCAAGTAATTTTTTTAATAATATTGATAATAATTTTGTATTTTACATTGTCTTTTTAAGAAGATAAAGGACCAAAAAAAAAAAAAAGGCAATGCAGACATACATACACATATTGTGTTAGAAACCTAGAAAAACATATAGGGAGATTAAATGTCAAAATGGACCAGTCAGTACAATATTGATAAAAAAATTATTTAATTGTTGTAAGGCTGAAGTTCTGAAACATGCAAGCATGCATAAGCATAAAAGAATTATGAAGTCAAAGACAAAAAAAATTAAAAATGTAAATAAATGTCTGATACAGTCTAGTAATAAAAGTCACACTTCCATATAGCATTTTCTGGGATATATTCAAGTAGGAAAGCAGCTGAGACCAACTGAAACAAGCTATAATGTTAAAATATTGATTTGCTTTTGACCAGAGTAGCTAACATGAGTTATAAATTTGAATTCTATTCCTTTATGCTTACTGCTTGGAGATGTGGAATGAGCCAGCAACAATAAGAAATCTTTATACATTTAATAGTGTATTTGCTTCTTTGTGATTTAGCATTCTGAAACACTCAGACAAAAGAAAATCTGCATTAGGAGAACATCAGTGACTCAAATTCAGGGGATGGGCAATACCATATCTGGGATTGCTTTTATGATGCTAATTCAGCTCAGGTGTGTGAGTCCCTTTCCAACAGGGGTCATTTAATACGAGCATTCTTTTTCAGAAAATCCTGTCTCTCTTGGATCTGGGAATAAGTCAACATTTGTGTTGAAGAAGATGCTAAATGTGAGGTGGCCAATCCCTCATTTACTGTAGAAGAGGAGGAATTTGATGTAATGAATGATGTAGCACTTTAGGAATTGAGTATTGCCCAGAATACACATTCATCTTTCTCTATAAAATTCCATGGCCATACTGGAATAATTTAAATCACAATTTTTGAAAATTGAAATTAATTCTGTTTTCCCCATTTTCTATACCAAACTTTAAATCCTCATGCTTAACTTGTGGAATTTAAAAAATCTCATAGTTGTAATTTAACATTTAGTAGACTGTAAGTCTTAAAAGAATTGCAGCTACTCACAGTTAAGTCAGAAGTTGAGCTAAAGGATACCAGCTATTCATCTAAACCAAAGTGACTGTTATAATTTGTCCTATTTTCCTTTTTATAGTATTCTTGGAACTTAGTTCCAGGGGACTAAAGGCATTCTGAACTTACTACGAAAAATCAGCTCCAAGGTACCCTGTCTTAAGAATCCAAAGTTAGTGAGCAATTTTGGTCATGCCTCCTTTGTTTCCATCTAAAAACTGGAATGAAAGGAAATGGAAATCTGTATATAGTGTCTGAATAGTGCATGTTCACCAATTCCCTGGCTCTTTGCCCTGCTCCTAAGATAAACATCCATACTTGGACTTGAATCTCCATAAATGGTTCCATCCAGGTATTTGATGCGAATTGAAGGATCTCGGGGAACATCACAAAGCTGATTTCTTGTGCAACCTACACATCAGCTTAACTTACTTTCAGCAAGCAAAGATGATACCACTGACACAGCTCATAACAGTCCAGAGAAATTAGTGGTTGTTTGTGAAGGGCCTAGGTGCTGACATGAGGAACACCATAGAAAAGTCTGTAAGATATCAACAATGTCTGTCAAGAGCAGCATTTGAGCATAGTGTGATAAACAAAATGCAAGATCACATGCTGAAACGGGGAGAAGATGATAGTGAATTATTTGGCACCATCCATTCATTCCAATAAGTGAGGTAAGAGCATATAGAAAGAACAGTTTTTGATCTAATAATGCAAGGCCATTGAAAGATGCCTTTGCAGAGGGGCTTAAACTTGCATGGACATTTTTAATTCTGATCTATTCTAAATCTTCTCATCTTGTACATTTATGTGCCATTTCCTAGATTTTTGTTTAAAAAAAAACTGTCTACTTCATATTCCAGAAAGATACATAAAAGCAATTTATTTCATATTAAATTTCATTGGGACTTTTGAGTTCCCTGATTGACTGGAACTGCTAAACCTTTATATTTGAAGTTTGTATCATTAACAAATACATGCTCCAATTACACAAACATACCCTGACATATGTTATCAGTGGGTACTCAACTCATTAGGGAATTAAATAGATAGTTGACAAACTATCTATTTAAGAAGATAAGAAATAACATGGAAATAACACACCCAAGTGAGCAATTTCCCCCGATGCTTGCTTTTCCTAATCATTTGGTGTATAATACATTATTATTGTTACATAAACTTTTTTCCTTACAACTTCCACTTTTTTTTTACATATTAAAATATAGATTTAAATAAATTACTTGAAAGTTCATTTGAAAATCTGTGGCATTGCCACACGTGTATTTACAAATGGCTGATGAATGCTTTAGTCACAGTACAATAATTTCTTCCATTTACAATTCAGTTCTTAAAATGTAACTCCTCTACAATGTTGATGAGTCTCATGATGTTTTGAATTTAAACAGCAAGAGAAATGTTTTTCCAATAGCACTATTAAGTGAAATTAAACATTGATTCCTTTCTTGCATTCAGCAGGATCCAGTCTCCAGTTCAGCTGTATACATGGCAGTCCTCACTTGTATGAACTTCTCTTCATAGAGCCTGTTAAAAGGTATAATGTTTTCTTCAAATTTTCATTCTGTGTCCATTATCACCTTGAGAAAAGCCACTTGCTACATATATTTGTTTTAATTTGGGGGCTCATTCCAGTGCAAAGTCAAATCCTCTTAAGCCCTCAGCTGATTCCTGGTTTTATTGATGGCCACCCTAGACTTTGGGTAGCTATGAAGAATTCTTTATTTGTCATTGTGATTTCTAAAATTGTTATACATTAGTGAATCGAGTATTGTAGCAAGATTTTTTCATTCCACTGTGTTGTAATACAGTGCCCTGAAAGACAGTTTCACCAATACAACATCGATCAGACCAGAGATCACGGTGGAGAGTGATGTTCAGCTGGGGCCATCTGCTGGTTGTGTTGCTGATCTTTCATTGCCAGATTTGGAAAATCACTTTCTATTTGTAATTCTATTGTAATTATAAAAATAGCAGCATGTATTAATAATCACCTCCAAATGATGGTTTGTATGTACTTTTAATTTATTTTTAAGATTAAATATTCCATGTACTTTATATGGCTCAATTATGAGAAGAAAAAAGAATTCAGTTATATTGTTTTCATAAACAAAATTTAAATGGAGGGAAGGGGGCTAAAAAAAGCTTTTACTTCTCAATAACACCAAAACTAAAACAAGGAATAAAGTAATATTGATGCTAAGATGTAAATTATTTAGTAAAAGAATCTACATATCTTTAGCTTTTATTTCTGTGATGAAAAGGATAAATAATTTTTATTGTCTTGATGCATTGTAAGATTTCACCTTGAATTTTTATGTGTTGTTCTAAAATAGCTAAGACGCACCATGTCCAATTTTCTTGCTATTTAAAATGATCAGTCAACTCTATGATAGTCTTCAAAGGCTTTTATTAAAAATAAATTAATGCCAAAAAAAGTAGCAGATGAAGAAAATATAAAGTCTTTAAAACCAAAAGTTCTAATCAATGAGCTACTGCAAACTAAGAATAATCCAGGCAATTTAGTTCAAAGTGTGAGTGTATTTTTATAATTATGCTATTATGTATTTATTCACTTATTGTATGATAATACTGACAATTATTTGTGTTTGTGTGATTGAGTCTTATTTCCATTTTTGCAAGACTCTAAGCAACTTTTAACTGTGTTTTCAGGAGCAGCAGAGAGCATTTTACAGATTTTGCAAGTTTAAGAGAGATCCTTTGCACATATTAAAATAGTATACATATAAATTTATGTATTTACACAAACAAACATATACATATTAACTTATACTAATGCCATGATTTATTTGATGAGGACGTGTTTGGTCATAGGTTGGACTTGATGGTGTCAAAGGTCTTTTCCAACCTAGTTCATTCTGTGATTCTGTGCCCATACATACATGTATGTGCATGTTTGCAATATATGTGTATACATCTATAAATGTATATGCATACATGCACACCTATGTATCACACCAACATCTAAATTGTACTGTTTATAGCCTCAGTTAAACAAAATCCTCTGTTGGCTCTTAGTTGTACTGAGATTAAATATCTGCCATTATTCACATTTGCCCTCAGCAGGTCCATCAGCAGGACAGACTTCTAACAGGAGCTGTAGGTGGCAAGTAATTTTATCGAGAAATGGAAAACGCAATTTAAAATGTATAAAAGGCATATAAATGATGAGACTTCCAAGCATAAACAGGAAAGCGTAAACATATTGCATATTTGGAGACCAGACTATGGGAGCTAGAACTAGGAAGAAAGACATTGCCACCATCATAAATGGAACTGGTAAAAACACCTGTAAGAGAAAGGAAAAAAAAGTGGGTTAGGAAATAAACGAACCAACTGGGACTTTTCTGCCTCATTCATTAGAGTAACAATGTGTTTGCCACAGTACAGTACCACCTCTCATGCTGCTATAAATTCACCCAGGACAAGAGTCATCTGACTCAAGTTGCCTATAAGAGAGGAATCTTTTTAAAAATATTTGTTTAGGCTCCTTCTTTTGTCAAGGGGGAGAGACAGGCAGTATTGGGAATCCATTTTTTTCACATATGATAATATGGGTTCCTATAAGACACTCAGGGCTGGGTGCCTGGAAACCTTCACAATGAGCATGCACTTCTAACCCAAGCTTTCTGACTGCTGGAGTAAGAAGAAATTCAGCCTATCTTTAATGCCTGTGATTATGTCAAGGAAGATGAGAGCAGATAGAAGTTTAATGAACTGAAGGGCAATGGGTCCTAAACTGTTGTTGTTATTGCTCCACACTGGTATGGTTCCACATTGTTTGCACATCTACCCCATTCTGCAAAGAACCATCTCATGTGTTCACCTTCTCTGGGGCAGAGACCATCTGTTTGTTTCTCTTCTTTTTACAGTGAAGCAAAATTTTCAAATGAGGCTCAAATGAGGCATTGAGATTATTATTTGTAATTTTGTGACTATCCACTTTAAATTTGCGCTTCTTCTATAACTTTTGCATGCTACCCAGGACTCAAAAAATAATATATAAAAATATTTTAAATTTAGATCCATTTACTTTGTATGGTCGGTGTAGATGAGGTTCCCGGTATCGAAGTACAATCAGGCTTGCACAAGTCAATCCAGTCATAAGCCAGGCAGAAAATCCAAAGTAATTTGTTAGCATAATAAGGTCAGAGGGGATGATAAAAATGGATGCAATGGTGGTTGAAAAAATCATGGCTGGTGCTGGCGTACAGGAGTGGACATTAAGCATGGATATTAAGAGAGGTAAATGTCCTGACTGACTTCCAGCATAGCTTAATCGACCGAGTGTGAACATGCTGCAGTTGAGGGCACCAAATATTGAGACAGCAACAGAGAGAGGAATGATCCAGGCAACGGAGGGGATCACTCGATCAGCCCAGGTGACTGCCACAGCAACTGCAAGAAAGCAAAGAATTTGTGTAGTACAAAGACCATCTTCTGAATAAGTGACAGACTCAACAGGAACAAAACTTAAAATACAAGAAGCACCTATTATTTACCAGCAATGCCTGCTTTTTCATAGTGGTAGTCAAACACTAATCCAATCCTAAAAGTATTTCATTCAGGAACTAAATATTTCCTGGGAGGATGACAGCAAGGAGTGCTGCCTGCCAGAGCAAGCCAGGGAAACCTGCTGGGGCCAATAGCACAGTCATGGACTGCCCAGCAGGAGTGAGTCACATCTCACATCCTTCATCAAAAGCACACACACCTGGGGAAGGAAAGAAAATTAACTCCTTGGTCCCTGACATAACCATGGTGCTGACACAATCTGCAGTTTCAGGAAACTGCCAACAAGAGCACATCTACAGTCAGAGATGAGTCAACAAATGTGCAATTAATGAGATTTTGCTTTGGGTGGAACTGGGAAATGTGAAAGATTGTTTCTAAACAAGAGATATTCAATATTGCTCGGAGATTAGCTACAGCTGATATTGTAGTGAGAACAATATTTAGTGGGTCTATAATCAAATGCCTTGAGGAACATGGGTCTTGCAGTGTCCTGTGCGGCACAGGAAGTAGTTAGAGGTGGAGAAAACAGTCCCCCAAACCAAAAAAAGAAAAAAAAAACCAACCAAAAAAAAAGGTCAAGTAGTGAAGGAACAAGAAATGTTTGAAAAAGTGCTATAATTTTAAGGTTATCTTCTGAGCTGGCATAGGTAAACACAGTTCCCCTGGTATGCATGAAGCTGGTCATGCCAGCTGGCAGCTGCAGTTCATGGATAGTCTGGTATTTGCTGCCTCCTTCATTGTAACATACAAATGCTCCATCTCTCCCAGCAGACAGCCTGACAGTGGCTGAGCGACAATATGAGGTTACTGAGTGACTGGTAGACTGTTTTCATTTATATTAGTGAGCTTTTTTCATAGGAAAAAAAATGATTGATCCATCCAAATGAGGTATGGTTTTTGTGAGGCCTGTAGGCAAGGTCTGACAGCTCAATGTCATTACAGTGTGATTTAAAATGTGCTGCTTGGACAATCACGGAGAAATACAGTTCCCTTTGGAGCCTTACATGGCTAGTTAATTGATCCAGGATCTGAGAAAGGGTTTATACACACTGGATTTTGTATAGGCTCTTCTGAGAAGTCACAGTATTTATCATGAATAATGCACACCCAAAATGGCTACATGTTTATGTCTATAGTCTTTTCTATACTCCTGAAAATGTTAGACTTGTCCACCTCCTAAAGAGTGATGGCTTTTGTCTGAGACTCAATGAGATAGAGAAAGAAGGAGGAGATAGGATTAAAACTACAGGAAAACAAAGATCATCTCTATACTTGGGACCTGACTTTCACCTTATTTTCCAGGTTTTAATACACTTCTGATTTCTTTTTAGACAGTGTAGGGAAAAGCCAACAATTTCAACAATCTGCCTGCATTCATCCAATTTGTATCATACAGTAAAATTAAAGAAGAATTCTCTGTTAAAAGAAAATGAACCTAAATTTCTGGACTGTGAAGTAAGGTGAGCAGAAGTAACCCTGGGCAGTGACATCAGACGGATATGTCAATGGGCCAGTCCTTTTTAATTAAAAAAATATGAAATACATACCTGAGGAGACAATTTCCTTAGGTGTGAGGACAGTCAGATATGAGATGTTCACTAGTAAATAAAAAACAATCACTGCAGGAACAGCAGTCATCACAGTTAAGGGGATATTTCTGCTGGGGCGTTTCATCTCCTCTGAAAAATACAATTTAAAACAACAAATGAAGCAAGCAGTGTAGCTTCTGCAAGTGTTTTTCAGTGGTGAAGCTGTGCAGTTTGACAAACTGATGCCAAAGTCCTGCCCCAATCCCTAATCATGGCTGCTAAATTCTCTGCTTGTGAAGTCCTACAGTGGTTCTCAAACAGGTTAATATCAAAGATTCTTAAACAATATTGTTTTACTTAGCTATTTTTAACTATTTTGGAAGGAGGGCTGGATGAAGAGCTGATTGATTCACAAAGTGATGAGTGATAATTTCCCTTTGATTTGATTAATCACATATTTGACTTACATTAGAAAAGTGATTTGGTAGAAAATTTTCAAGTAGCCTTACCTGAAAATCACTAGCTTAAACATGAGACTCTTAAGTCACATTATTTATTCTCATGTCACCTCATGAATCCTGATCTTAAACTTAGTGAGCATATTTGTGTATTTCTACTCAAAACCTTTCTCTTTGCTCTCATATCAGAAGTAACAGAAAAGACTGAAGGTATAGACATAAGACCAATAATGCAGTGGCTTTAAAAGGGGGCCATTCCCAGATGGATTTTGATTATTATCATCTTTTCCAGGGCAAAGATGGTGGAGGAAAACTGTTTAGTGCTAAGTCTGATAGCTTAGAACTACTCTTACCAAACAAGAAAAAAGCTGAATTTTGCAGGTGTATAACTCAGACACAGGCACACATTCCTGGGCATGTCATAGTCCCAGCAAAAGATGGAGCTGGTTTCCAGAAGCTTAATCTCAATCACCCTCATCTCAATCAGAAAGGTTCTTTTTAATGTCTTTCACTCCTTCCTCTTGTTCCCTCACCACTTCCCACTTCCCTCAGCATTTACAGACAATTTCCTCAGTATTACCAGCAAATAACTGATAAGAGGAAAGAAGTGAAAAGTGAAATGTGCAGCTTACTTAAACTCTTTTTAGGAGACAGAAATCTGCTTCCTGCTTTACATTTGATTTCTATCTTCTGCTCAGGACATCAGCCTTGAGCCATGATCCCTGTGCTGGCTGTAGTGCATGGAGACAAGACTGAAGGACCACAATAGTGAAATTCAGATACTACCAGAAAATTTGGGATTTATTTCAGATATAAAAAATACACTTAGTAATTTTGAGCTCAGAAGAGAATAATCACCAAAATTTCCAATTTAAATTTATCTTTCCATTTGTTTTGTTGTTTATTGCAGTCTTACCAGCCAGCTGGCACCTGATCCATCAGCTGAAACTCGCAGAAATGAAGTTATTGTTGAATCATAGGAAACTCAGGTCAGTTTGGAACAAATGCATACGTTACATTTGTCTAAACAGCTGTGCTGTCCAGTGTATGGCATTTATTAGTACTGCTAACTGATCAGAATAAACCTGTATTTTACCAGAAGTCTTGCATTTTCTCAGGCTTACAAAGCCAAGCACTTGTCTTTAAGGAATTCCTAAGGTTTCAAAACCACACTTTACTGATTTTTACATATATATATATTTTTAACTGCAGCCTATTTTTAAAGCTGGAGTACCTGGATTATAAAGACAACAGTCAGGTTTTTAAACATTAACCAAATTTTCACACTATCCTCACCACTGAACTTTGTGGTATGCATTTAACACATTCCGTTTATTTAATATTTTACATGACAGAGGTCAATGGATACAAATGGTTAAAGATATAACAGCAATATCTGCTTGCTTACAATATAATTCCATGAATCTGATGATACTATAAAACTCTATTGATTTAACTTGTGATGTGAACACCTAACATAATGAACACCATCTCTGTAGCTTTAACGAAAAAGTTTATTTCTGCCATATGTCAGCAGATACAGAATAGGGAAGTAAACAGATATTCAAAAACCTTTTGAATTTTAAAATGGAGTACAAATTCTATGAAAAAATCTATGCCACCTTGCACAGACCTCTCTTTACCCTCTACTGGACTTCAATATTTCCCAGGAAAATATATCCCATAAAATTACTACATTCTAACAAAACTCAAAATTAATTTGACCATGTTCAAACCAGCTGCATAACCACTGATAAGGCACATATATTTAAACAGAAATTACCTATGCACACATAGTTTGGCATGGATAACTTGATACTTTCCTAAAAATACACTGACATGGACACTGAGAAAGAAAAAATGCAAATATTTAATGTATGAAAAAAAATTAACTGTTATGATTTCTCTTGTACTTTCTTGAAAGTGTCAGCTTCATTCTGCACAAAAAGCAGGAATTTTCCCTGGAGAGGAACAACGCCTCTTCTACCAGCCCAAACAAACACTTACGTAAAATGAGAAGGACCCTGTGGTCTTGAAGCAGAGACAAGTTCTCCCAAAACAAGCTAAGGAACACAAGAATGAGAACTGCAGAACTAAATCTAAAGAAGAGGAGCAGAATACCTGCCATGTAGTTGAGGGACCACCAGCCGCCGTACGCGTACAGCCCCTGGAAGAAGGCTTCGGCAACCTGTGAGGCGTTGGGGATCTCTGAGCTGAACATGTCCTCAAACCTGGCCAGACTCTCCTTTTGCCTGGTAACGAGGAGAACTATGCCACCAACAGCAATCACAGACAAGGCCATCATCTTCAGCAGAGTGAAAACTGTCTGCACCCACGCAGACATTTTGACGCTGAGGCCATTCAAAATCCCCAGGGACCAGAGAACAGCCAAGGCCAAGCACTTCTTCAGCACATCTGGTGCAGGACAAATGCCATAGAATGGCTGTGTGGCATATTCAGCAAACAGCAAGGCTCGAGCAGCATTTGATGCTGGCTTGGTGAACGTTGCTGTCCAGATAAACACGAAGGCGGGTAGGGATCCAAGGCCTCTTTTAATGTGGCTGTACTCTCCTCCGGAGAAGGGCAGAGCGGTTCCCAGCTCCGCATAGCAGAGGGCACCCATCAGAGAAACCAGCCCAGACGCGGTCCAGATCGTTAGTGCAACGCCAACATTGAGTAAGGAATGTTTTAACACCCCTGTGGGAGACACGAAGATCCCAGCTCCAACAATTGACCCTATAATAAAACTTACCCCATCAAAATAACCTATATTTCTTTTGAGTTGAATCTTGGCTTTTCCTTTTCTTTGCACATCTTTGGGGTCATTGTTTTCTTCTTTTCCCATTTTTTTGTGTTTTTTTTTCACAGCAGGTTTCACTTTGTGGTTAGCAGTCTGTCATAGCCCTGCTTGCTAGTGAAATGTTATGGGAAGCTTGGCTTAATCATTCAGAAAAGAAAGCATACTTTGGGTTTGATGTCTCCTGTGTGAAGATAATTAACCAAATACTTCAAGAAACACTGGCAAATCATGTACATGTTGGTTTAATATGTACTTCAGAAATTATAAGGCCTGCAGGTATTTTTAAAGAAAACAACATTAAAATTAATGCATGGCAAATGCTCATTTCTCAGATGATTTTCATCAACAGATTTCATTTTGTTTAATGTACATCTTTAATGTACAACCACAGAGGTGAGTAAATGTGACTTCTACATCAACATTAGGGAAAGAGGAAGGATATGGCAACATGAGGAAAGAAATCAACCTTCCATATATTATTGACAGTGACATGGATGTTAGATGAACAGCCTGCCACTATTTTTCCACCATCTACTCAGAAAAGGGACAGTGATAACCAATAATCACCAGTATGCTTTGCCAAAATCTCATCAGTCACTGGGTATATTGGAGCTTGTTTATACTTCACTCATTAAACATTGCCCTAGAAAGAAAATTACCAGTTTTATTCCCAGTTTTTTTCTGAGCACACAATGATAGACTAGCATTCAAACATGTCCTAAGATGGCATTAATCTTCAGACACTGCTGTGAGGGAAGGAAAGAAGCTGTATCATAATTTTCATTTCTGCACGGGAGCTGTGGAACAGAAGGAAGAAGGTTGGAAGTTCCCACTGGTGTCGCATGTGTCTTTTAAGGTGTGGCTGCTGATTTTTCTACATACTTATCTGTTTCATATTTTGTGTTAGGAGCTTTTCTTCAATCAGATGTGGAGATGCCATAAACAAATTACTTTTGTACCAAAATGTATTTTTTTTTAAAGATGCAGAGAAAAATGGGCAGAAAGAAGAAAACTTACTGAAAAGAAGCTCAGCATGAACCCTAAGGGTTGTGTAAGTGCCCAAACTCGTAACTGCAAAGTTCTTACTTTTTGTCAGTAAAGTGGCAGAACAGTTTTCTCCTGCAGGTCAAAGCTCACCAGCGCAGAGAACAAAACTCATGCTTTTACAGGGGCCAACTTGAAAGACGCAGTGGTTCACACCAGTCTTGAACAGCAGGATTTCCACTCAAATACAAATTAAATTCATCTGAAAATTAGTTTATATAATATGCCATCATGTAAGAATCCTATGGCTAAAACAGGCATGTGCACAGACTGTTCTTTTAATTGTTTCAATGACCTGAAGTGAGTTTCCTTCACCACAAAGAAGCTCTGCAGCATGGTCAGTGACAGAATCTACAGACCCAGAGCAGCCTCTAACCATAAGAAAATTCTTCCATTTTCTCCAAATCCCTGCAGTACTCTCCAACTACTTTCATCTTACAGACTGTGAAAAACGCCAATCACTTGTTTTTAAAATTTTTAAAAGTTTAACAGTAATTAAATAGTTAAAAAAATAGTAACACAATTAGAGTAATAACAATTTGGACAAATTGAATTAAGACAATATGAGACAATAAAAGACAAAGAGTTACGGACATCTGGGTACCTTTTTCTGGGCATCATGAGCCCGAAAAAGGACCCCTGCTAACAAAGGATTAACCCTTAAGAACAATAGCCTGTTGCATATTCATACACTTCATACATGATGCATAAATTCCATTCAAACACAGGATTTTGTCTGGTCATTGTCAACTTCTTCCTTCCAATCCTAACAGCACCTTCAAGGCGGGAAGAAGTTAGTTTCTTCTGATAAGAAGGCAATGAATTCTTTTCCCTGAAAGATTTAGGTGTCCTGTGGCTGCTATTTGGTGTGAGTGCCTCATTCCTTTCTTTAGAAACAACCCCACTAGCATAGTTCTTATTTTAACACTTTTTATAACCTAAAACTATATTTAACACAGTACTTAAGAGAATAAATACAGCATTTCTTTCTAACACAACACATATAACATTCATTTTAATATTTGCGAAAAGCCAATCATATAATACGTGCATTTTTCACGCAGACTACAAAAACTGTAGTTCTACAAGAAGCACATCTCTACTTACTAAAACTTGCATACATTTTAAATTGCATTTATTGATTTAATAAATTGTAGTATGTATTTAGGTATGCATTTACCATGCATGATTAAAATTCATAATTAAAATATTAATAATCTAGTATTCATGATTGGGAAATTCAGCATAGCATATGTTTTACATGGTTGAAATAAGTAATTTCTTTTTTTATTTTCTGAGTCTCCTTCTCTGTGAATGCACACATATTATGTGATATCCAGCAATCTTCCAACTCTCTTATTCTTCCACGTACAGCTGGATTTGGATCACTATCTTAAAACAAATCAATGTTACGCTCAATGGAATCCTAAAGTACAGATGCAACTTTTTTCACTGATCATCCTAGCGTTTGATTTCTAGTACAAGAAAAGCATTCACAGAATCTCCAAAACAGCATCTTAATAAGGATTTTTTTTATTCCTGACAAAGCTGCCCAATCTCAGAAAACCTCACTGCCATTATCCTTTGGTGGCTGGGCACGGGACCAGGCTCCCCAGGCAGGTGGCTACAGTTCCAGGCCCAGTTCCTGAGAGTTGCACAGTGCTCTCAGGCATACGGTGTGACACCTGGCGATGGCCGCCGATGATCCCTGTGCGTTTCTTCCATCTCAGGATGTTCTGTGATTCTGTGACACTCTTAAGCGCTAAAAAACACCAACGCCCCCTCCGTGTCCCCTCGAGAAGAACGCAAAGCAGCCCGGTCTCTAAACCCGGCCCCTTCCTGGGCCCATGGCAGGAAGCGTCAGGAGAGCGGCAGGGAGCGCAGTGGAAGCACGGAGCTCGTCCCCCGCTGCCCCCGGGCTCCAGCAGCGCCGCCTCCCCGCGGCCGCGCCTGCCCGCGGCGGGAGCGGACGCGGCGGCGGCGGGGCCACGAGGCGGGGCCGTGAGGCGTTTTGTCCCGGCCTAAGGCGGACAGCGCTGCCGTGGGAGACGAGGGAGCATTGAAGCGAGATGCAGTCAGCGCGGGGGCCCGGCGGCATGGCAGGGATCCCCGGCGAGCTCAGCCTCATGGATAAGGGCGTTAAGAGGTGAGTGCGGAGGGGCCGGGAGAGGGGAGGCCGCGGCGCAGGGCCGAGCTGCCGGCTGACGGTGGGCTCCTCTCTCCGCAGCCTGAGGGATGTGTCCCTGAGCTCGGACCTGCACACGCTCAACGCCCACTGTAACCTCATCGCCAGGATCCAAGGGCTCGACCACCTCCGCAATCTGCAGCACTTGGATCTGTCATCAAACCAGATCCGCCGCATCGAGGGGCTCGGTTCCCTGGCTAAGCTGCGCACCCTGAGCTTGTCCTGCAACCTGCTAACCAAAGTGGAGGGTCTGCAGTGTTCATTTCTGTCCATTTAGCAAGTTACGAAGGTTTTTCTAAGAGTCGCATTAAGGTTTACTTCTGGAATGTTAGCTTATAATTAAGGTTATACCGAGTTAGTATGCTAGCCATTTTATAAAGTGAATTTTAAGATGTGTATGTGTAGTCTTCATAAGCCTCATCATAGCAAAATGCCTTAACTTAGAATTAAAACCTGTTTTTTGTAATATGATTATAGATTAATGTCATAACTTGTAGTTATGATCTTTAAAGGTTCACTTTGCAAGTTTTGAATTTGATGAAAACAGTGCATTTTTCTGAAAATCTTCCTGTTTCTATTTTTTCCCTCATTTTTTTTAGGACTGGAAAAACTCTTTAATTTAACTATGCTGAATTTGTCATATAATCGCATACATGATCTCTCTGGTAAGTGATGTTGCCATGTGCTGTGCAATACAAAGCATTTGTCTCACTTTAATTTTGAAACACCTGACCAAGTGTATTTTGAGAAGTTTCTAGTACTTCAAGTGCCAGTTCACTGAATAATACTAATACAGGTGGCAATTGCTGCTCTTCTCGGCTTTAAAGTTTTTAACACCAAAGATTGCTCTGAACTGGAATTTATTCTTCTGTGTTTGGTGAGGCCAAGCTTGTTCAGAAAGTAGTACAGTAAACATTTCAGACTTAGTTCCAAAATATTCATATCTTTCATTTTTATAGAACGAAAATGCAACTTTCCATATGATATGGAAGTTTTCTTATATATCTCCGTTGAAATGGTCAGTTGTTCTTAGGATTTCATTCTACAAAATCAAGAGAACTTGTAATGGAAAATCAAAAGAACATTGGTAACAATTTTGTTATTGAGCTTGTGTTATAAAATGAAACTTGAAGGAAAAGGTTTATTTTTACATGCTTTTTAACAGTCAGAGATTAATCTGTTTCTTTAAAGTTAGTTCACACAAGTAGCTTAAGTGTCGTACTCTGTGGTAGAGTAGCATAGGTTATTAACATGTACAGAAGGAATATGGAGCAAGTGTAGTTCTCTCATTTCTAGTTATGATATATTATTTACTGAATATTTTTCAACACGATCCTGTTTGTTTTAAACCTCATAGTCTAGGACTGTAGCAGAAAACATGACTTTGTGGTTGTTTGGGGTTTTTTTCCTGAAATTTCCAGGATTTCGATCCCTTCATGGAACCAGACATAAGATTAGCCACATTGACCTTCACAGCAACTGTGTAAGCAATATTAATCACTTACTGCAGTGCACAAAGGGGCTGTGCTGTTTGACAAACCTCACGCTGGAAAGAAATGGAAAAGCCAATCCAGTTTGTCACACAGCAGGTATGGATCTGATCTTATGTAGCTAATTTGTGCTCATTAGCTCAGTGGTTTCCTTTAAGCTGTGAGCTGTTTTCTGAAGCTTGCAAATTCATTCATAAACTGGCCAGCCTGCAGAAATCTAAATTCTGTCAAAATGAATTCATTTTCCATTTTAAAAAATCCTTTTTTTCCTGACAGCATATTCTCAAAATTGTAAATTGTATGCTTTGATAAGGCTCAGCATTTTC